AGTGATAGGCAACAGGCTTTTAAGGGGCTGCCAGAAGGAAGGGGGGGGGCAATGTATTTTCCAAAGCACCAGAAGGGAAACAAGAAGTAATGGATGGAAACTGAACAAAGAGAGAAGCAACCTAAAACTAAGGAGAAACTTCCTGGCAGCGAGAACAATTAACCAGTGGAACTGCTTGTCTCCAGACATTCTGGGTGCTCAATCACTGGAAGTTTTTAAGAAAAGACTGGACAGCCATTTCTCTGAAACGGTATAGAGTCCCCCCCCCCCAGGTCCCTTCTAAGTGTTATTCTGTTATTCTGATATCTTTCCGAGGACCTCTACTCAGATTTTGCATCCTCAGACTCTTAGCTATTTAGCTGAGGAATAACAGAGTTGAAAGGGGCTTTGGAGGTCTTCTAGTCCAACCCTCTGTTCAGGCAGGAAAACTGAGGATGCCAAAAACTGAGTAGAAGTCATGGGGAAGGTGTCAGAATAGCAAAATAACACTTAGAAGGGACCTTGTGGTGAACCCTATACCATTTCAATATTTCAACTGCAGGTTTCTAAAAATCTAATTTAAAAAATGAGATTAATATCCTAATGAGATTTTTAGAAACCTGCAGTTGAAAGTTCTTCACCTCTCCTTTCCTTGAAGACCCAATTTCATTTGGAATTTAATCCCAAACTGATTACCCTTTTAGCATTTCTCTTGATACTTCTCCAAAATGCACTCCCAAGAAGCCACATCTCCATCTCTCTCTCTCAAGAGATCTAAAGGGGGAGAAACTACAGTACTACTGGCATTCATAGTCTTTCCAAGGATGTGTACAAGAGTCTAAACAGAAAATATAAGCAGGAGCCAAGAAATATTAACATATTACTCACAAATCCCTTCTGGAAAATCAGTATTGATTTAATGTTTCCCAAATGCAATCCTTTGTAGAGCAAATGCTTTGGACTACAGACATTAAATGCATGTAAATCACACCTCTCCCTCCCTCCCTCTCTCCTTCCCTCTCTGTCTCTGTCTCTGTCTCTGTCCTTCTCTCTCTCCCACCCACACTTGGTCTGACTAGAACAGTGCGAGAAGGCAGAAAGCGAGTGGCGGGGCGGTCGCCGGAGCTTGCTTATTTCATCCCCTGGGAGAAGGGCAGAAAGCAAGCTGCTACAACAGTGGTAACGGGATTACTGAAGGGTGGGGCAGGTAGAAGTACTGGGGCTGATGCTCATGTGCACCTATGCTGCCCTCAGCCCGCTTTGTTCATTTTGTTCCCTGGGAGAAGGCAGAAAGTGAGCAGCGGTGGTGGGGGCCAGAGAGTGCAGCCATCTGGCTGCTTGCATTCTTCAATCTGCCATCCCCTGGGAGAAGGCAGAAGGCAGCATGTTCTGCTGCTGCCACTCAATTTCTGTCTTCTCCTGAGGGATGACGAAATGAAGGAAGTGAGCGGCCACAGCGGCTGCATGCTCTGGCTGCTCACTTTCTTCCTTTTGCCCCCAGGAGAAGGAAGACACAGGATGCAGAGGCCAGAGCATGCTGTGGCCACGTCTTTCTTCCTTTTGCCCCTGGGAGAAGGAAGATGTGGGCGGCAGAGGCCAGAGTATGCTGCAGCTGCGCCTTTCTTCTTTTTGCCCCTGGGAAAAGGAAGATACATTCTGAAACACTAAAAACCACATCATTTTCATCACTCCTACTACAAACACGTCCTGTTGCAGTTGATATTATCCCATTTACTTTGATTCTCAGGCCACTCAAATTCAATTGACTTACAGTTGCTATTATATAGTTGCTAACTTGGCAAAGGTTTACTTTACCTTAACACCATACATTTTATAATTGTTATGTTTTAAAATAGCGTTTATTTGCTTTTTTACACGTTATTTTATTTCTGTCTTTGAGCCACTCCATATCATATTGATATATAGATTCAGGTATGTGACTCATATGCGTTCTGATTGATACATTACTGCAAATTCTATTGGAATGTCTTGTAAATCCTTGAATTGAGAAGCATTATGTCTTGATCTTTTTTCCAAGGACTATTGTATGTCATTTGAAAATCCCCAGTTTTGTAATTTTTTTACTTGATATTTTCAAGAGGTATATTTTTTATCTAGCAGGATAATATATATCATATATTGAGTTTGATAATATGCTTTTAGCTAGTATCTGAGCAAATCTAATCATGCCATCTTCAGTTCTAATAAGTGCTGAATCCTAACATTCAAGAACACAATGCACACATTTCAATATCTGAGATAATATCAGTAGGAAAGTGGTTTCCAAGAGACTTTGGCTTTGCTAAAACTATTGTTAATTCATATGGTACCTTTGGTTTTGACATGTAAATTGTGTGAATGCAGTTGATATACAGTTTGTATAATCATGATTCATGCTGCAGCATCACCTGGTATAGGAGAATATTGTGGCTTCCTCAAGTAACTTTTAAATGAACTTTGGATAGTGTAGCATATAAAATCAGACATAGCAATACATTTCATAACAATTTCCCTTTTTATATTAAAATACTCTTGGTATTCATGAAGACAAAATCTGTAAGGTCATTTGCCCAAAGATAACATATAATTTGTTTAATACACTAACAAAAGTGTGCTTTTATTCAGCAGAGACTAGACTCCAAACTTAATTATTAAAAGTAGTCTGCAATTAGTTGTGGGGGTGGGGAAGAAGATTAGTTCATCGCCTTGATACTAAATCCAGGAATTGCAGTTGTGAATTTGTGGAACTCAGGATGCTGCTAAGGCAACTCATAGTACCCTTAAAAGCAGAGCCAGTAAATACAGATATGGGATTGCAGGACATCATTTCTTCAAGTGCTACCATTGATTCAGAGTACTAAGGCCCTACTTCTTATCAACTGTGTTTCCCATTGAAATTTCTTTCCTCAGAAGAAAAACGGGAAAGTTCAATGTGAAGAAAAATAAAAGAGAAAATATTATCAAAAGATAATATTAAAATCTCAATAATTTAGTTAGGATAGAATTGATATTTTTATTTCTTATGCTGTAGATGATTGGATTGAACAAGGGTGGAAGTAAAGAATATAGGGCAGTTAATGAAAAATCTAAATAAGATGAAATGTTAGAGGGGGGTTTCAAATATGCTAAGCATGAAGGTACCAAAAAAATGGAAAAGACTATAAGGTGGGGAAGACAAGTGGAAAAACTCTTCTGTCTTCCTTTCACAGAAGGGATGCTCAACACTGCCTGGAAGATTAAAGTATAAGAGACAATGATAAAAATAAAACAACCCAATATTACAATGATACTCAAAATTATAACTCCAGTTTCAGTTAGATTGAATCCAGAACACGACAATTTTAGCAAGTATGGAATTTCACAGAAAAAATGGTTGACAACATTAGAACAGAAAGGGGTGGAAAAGATGCCACTGGTATGCAACATTGCATAGAGAAGACTTGTGACCCACACCATAATCACTATTTTGGTGCAGGCTTTCCAATTCATCACCAACTCATAGTGCAATGGATGGCAAATGGCAACATATCGATCATATGCCATGACTGTCAGGAGGGAGAATTCAGAAGCTTCAAAGCAGACAAAGATAAAGACTTGTGCAATGCAACCAAAGTAAGAAATGTGCCTGGTATTCATGACAGAATTTATCATGGATTTGGGGACTATGACTGAAACAATGCCCAGGTCCTGCACAGCCAAATTCACCAGAAACAAATACATGGGGCTGTGCAGTTGATGGTCAAAAGCTACTGCAGAGATGATGAAAAGATTTGCTGTTGCAGTTGCCAGATATAATATGAAGAATAAGAAGAAATGTAGAAGCTGCAGGTGCCGTTCTTTGGAGAATTCCATGAGCAGAAAGAAAGACACAATTGTTTGATTTTTCATGTTTAAGTTGGGGCTAAGATGAATGCCACATCTGTAAGGAATCAAAGGTGAGAACCTCATTAAAACAGTGAAGGTGCAGCTTGATATGTACTGAGAACAGAATGGATTTAAATAATAATAATGTGGCAACAATTAAAGGAGCACTACAATGTTTAAAAAATGCCAATGTCCAAGTACAGCATTCCCATATTTTTCAATGGATAATTTATGAAATTAACAACCAAAACACCCTTTTCTTTTTCTCCCCTTCTTCATTCACAATTATTTGCATTGTTGTTATGGTTAAAATCAGGGGTGGGATTCTACCGGTTCAGACCAGTTCTATAGAACCAGTTGTTATGATTCTGCATAGTTCAGAGAACTGGCAAATCATGCCACTGGCTAGCCCCACCCATCCCCACCCTCCCCTCCCCTCCCAGTCAGTCCTTATCATGTATGTGCAACATTGCGTACATGCCCAACATTGCTGACTGTATTCTCCCCCACCTAGTCACTCCTTAAGATTTTTTTTCTTCCCTCCCAACAATCAGCTGTTCCTATGATCAGCTGTGCTGGGATCCCCCTCGCTGTCTTACTGCTTCACCCAGGAGGCTTCCCTGAGGCCTAGGAGGCAAAAAGGGGTGTGGGACGTGTGCAGGGGGGGTACAGCACCCCCATTCCATTTCTTGCCTTCCTGGGCCCCAGAAAAGCCTTCTGGGAGCAAAGATACCCCCGCAGAAGGCTTCCCTGAGGCCCAGGAATAAAAAAAAATGGGAGGGAGTTGCTGAAGAAGAAGAAGAAGAAGAAGAAGAAGAAGAAGAAGAAGAAGAAGAAGAAGAAGAAGAAGAAGAAGAAGAAGAAGAAGAAGAAGAAGAAGAAGAAGAAGAAGAAGAAGCCACTCCCACCCAGTCACATAGCCATGCCCACCTAGCCACACCCACAGAACTGGTTGTTAAAAAATTTGAATCCCACCCCTGGTTAAAATGTTTGTTAGAATTTGGAAATGCCTGCCAAGACCATTTTTTTACCCAAAGAAGAAATCTTGGAGAATTTAGATTGGTCAATTTCATGATATTTTTACAAGGGTAAAAAAAAAAAAAAGAACAGGAGTACCAGCTTAGTTTAGCATTGTGCTAGCCTAGAAATGAGGAGATTATGAGTTCTTGGCATACCCTAGGCATGAAAAACTGGGTGTCTTTGGGGTAGTCACTAATTCTCAACCCAAATGCACCTCTCAAGATTGTTGTGATGGGAGAAAAAGGAGGAGAAAAGAGTACTCAGTAAGTTTGCTGTCTTGAGTTACTTAAAAATTACAGAGAAGAAATAAAAATATTATAATTAACATAATATAAATATTATGTAATATGATATGATATGATAATATTACTGTACTATACTCACAGTGCATTGCTTTGCATTATATTGCATTACATTACATTGTTGTCTTGGTCTCCTAGAGCATGGGTGTCAAATTCACAGCCTACAGGCTAGAAGCATCACGTACTGGCCACACCTCCCCCCAATTTAGTAAAGGGGAAAAAGCCTGATGCATCACATGATGACAATGTGACACTGCAAGATGGACACCCCTATCCTAGAGGAAAGGCAAGGTACAAACCTATCAAATAGGCTCATAAAGATAAATATAGATGCAGTGCTTGGCAGCAGATATTGTCTAATACCTGAGTAAATACATTTATTACATCATTGATGGCACAAGGCTGAGTGCAGCAGTGTAGGCAAACTCTGCCACAACCAGGAGTTCAATCTGACTGACTCAAGGTTTCCTCAGACTTCCATCCTTCCAGTGTTCATAAAGTGAGGACCCAGATGTTGGGGGCAATATGCTGACTCTGTAAACTGCCCAGAGAGTGCTGTAAAGCACTATGAAGCAATGTATAAGTAATTGCTATTGCTGTTACTATTGATTCAGTCTGGCTCAGCTTAACCTTATAGTCAAGGCTGAACCTTATAGTCAAAAAGTTGAAAAAAATGTTTGAAGGGATTCATTCACTTTTTCATCAAGAATTTAAAACCTAGAGTTTAGAAGAAGTCTGCTAGGCATATGTATTGTCAGAAGAAACCCCATTTTGAAGAAAAATGAGTTGCTTTTTAAAAGTATCTTTAATAAAACCCTGCATACTGCTATTGTAATAGCCATGGAAAAGAAAATTAATATTAAAAAAATCAAGAACAATAATTTCAAACTAAACTTTGGCAGACAACCCCCCTTCTTAACCTTTCCATTGGCATTCCTAACTGCTTGGCATTCCTAACTGCTATGTCTTGTTGATCTAATGGCAGTTATAGAAAAATAATAACTGTAATTGGTAAAGTTGTCAACATTGTCAGCTCTTTCCAATCATAACTTTTTTCAGAGGGTGATTTGCTCTTTCGTGGGACTTCTTTGTTGGGCTCTGCTTCTCTTTCCTTCTTTCCTCTTTTCTTCTTACCTGGAGTTACTCAGAAGATATGCAGAGAAGGACAGCCAATCCTGAGCTTCTTCTTTATTTGACAACTTTTATTCTCCCTGAGAGAAACCTCATTTGAGCCTCTAAAGCCAGATTCTTTTCCCCCTGACTGAAAGAACACCACCACTGTGAACTTGATATTGACAAAGGCCATCTATGCCCCTTCAGTGAGTTGGATTTGTAGAGCAGCCCAAGGAGATGGTGGGATTCACATAACCTGGGCCCAAGTCTCTAACTTTGCATATACAGCTTTCCTGAATCCTTGAAGCAAACAAGTTGAGTTGGGTTTCATAGCCTGGAAGAACAAACTGGCTTCAACTGACCTGTTGGATTCAAAATCAGTCAAACCTTTCAGACTGGTCTTGGTCTTCAGCTTCAAGAGTACCGTGGTTTGAGAAAGCCAAGGAATGCATTGAGAATACTGAGCAAAAGAGCACTGACAAAGTAGTTACTGATAAAGTCTATCTATCTTCCTTATTTCCTTTCCAATTCATAAGGAAACCCTCTGATGCTAGCCTTCAAGCTTTCTAATTCAGGATACTATTTTAGCATAATACAATAATGTGCCACCATAATGGTGTGTTTAAATAGATCATTCCACTGAATGATAAATGTGAGATTTGAAGAACCTTTTATTGATTAGTTAAATTTTAAAACAAATCATAATTGAATGTTCCCATCAAATAATAACAAAGAATAACAAGGAGGGATTTGTTTTTTCCCTTGTTTTTTCCCCAGTATAGAATGAATATCTACCATATCAATAAATTTCAACAGTGTGAATCAAATTTTAAACTTGAATGGAAAACAACATTATTTAATAACTGAAAATGGATCTAGAAATGATGTTATAGATGCTAAATCTAGCAATTAGCATTCAGTTTAACTAGAGAATTTAAATTTATGCAAATTGTAAAATTGTAAAAACCTCTTTTTTAAATAATATCTACATACAGAAGATATACCATTATGTGAAGTATGAACTTGTTTCATTATTTAGGAAAGTTATAGACCATCCCCTCTACTGCAGTTGATTCCCATTATTTTGTTCACAATACTCTTAATCTATCTTTCTGGGTGTAAATTTCTGAAAACAGATATTTGTTGTCCTCCCAATCATAAAAGTTTTTCCATTATACTAAAGCATTAAGGTCTAATTTCATTTTTAAAACACTTTTCCTAATGTCAAAATATAGAAATGAGTCTAAAACAGTGTCAATGTAAAGAATTGCCAATTTTCCTTAGAAAGCAGGAAAAACATGACAGTGCAATCAATAAATTCGTCACTTACTATTTTTCTTCACAGAATCATTATCTAGTGATGCAGATATGCTACACAAATTGGTCAGCTATGAAAAAGATGTATCAGTAATTTTGAGTTCATATTTGGTGAAGTCAATAATAAGTTGACTTTACAGTTGCAATCATTTGTTTTCCCTCTTGGCCATACAAACAAATTTTACAAAACAGTATAATAAGTGTTTGGATGTTTAATATAATTAGCAATTAATCATTAATTAGTCTCAACATGAGGAATTCTCCAAGGTATTCCCTCATCGTCCACTATTTTTATTTTCTAAAAATTGCATATGAGGTCTAATATTGAGAATTCTTGAAATTAATTTTTAGGGTATCTTTCCATCTGATAAGCACAAATTTTATTAAAATAATGAAGTCATATACTGCAGACTAGGGAACCTGGCAAATATTCATGAGTCCTAAGATAAGACAAAGTGTTATCTTAAGTCTATCAATGACTGTAATTCATGTTTGCTCCAGGTTGAAAAAAAATGTCCATGAATACTTGATTATAAGTTCTTTTTCACATTGCACAAGGTGGCTCTTGCCTATTTACCACAATCAGTAACTGTGTTAATAAGGACTGCAATTCCTGAGACATCACATGACCATGCTGAATTATAACCTCATTTCCACTTCTGTCATTAAGTGAATCACTGAGGTTATTAAATAAGATATCATATGATCATTACTGCAATTCCATTTCCTTTTCCTCCATTAAGGCTGCTTGTTGGAAGCCATTTGTTTAGCAAATGAATGGTAATCACGTGACTCTTTGATGCTGCAACAATTATAAATGCAAAGTTTGGTTGCAAAGCCATTTCCCTAACCTTTGTAACTGTTGCTCAAATGAGGTAGTTGGTGAATACCTGAACCAATTGTAAAATATTTATAAAAGCAAGGATTATCTGAACCATTATAAAATATATTCGACAGTTGTCTGTTCATGACATCTGGAAAGATTTCTTTCTCAGTTTCATTCTTTTGGAAATGTTCTTTGATGACATCCATGTTTATGCCATTTGATGTCCACTTCTATATTCCATTTAATACAGAAGAACATCTGCATCCAAAAGACATCATCTCTCATTGGAAACTTTGAAAAGTGATTTAATAACTTTTCTACCAGTTTATAGCCATATGTGTTGTTTTTCCCTTATGCATGTGTCTATGACCCATTCCATGTGTTATCATGTGAAAGGAATTAGCATCTCATCTGCTCTGTCTGACAGCATAAACCTTTAGGTGGCA